TGTAGAAGGAGTTTTCATTTTCCTCTAGGAGGATGCAGAACCCCTGATATCTGTCTGGACAGTGCTGATTGGCTCCGTGTTGATCACATGCACTCCCCCAAGAAAAAAAACAAACCTCTCTAGCAATACACATCAAAAACTGAGCATGTGCAGAGTGTCTCTACAGATATGTCTTATCAGGAGATAAGAGGGGGAGACTGGAAGAAGGGGAGGATCAGAGAAGACAGGATCAAACAACCTTTTTACACAATGCAGAGGATTAACCCCTTAGGTTCCACAGTGAGTATACCCAGCATGCTTTGCTGCATCTCCAGACTGATGTCATTGTTGGGGGTTCAGGAACACTTTAACTCCTTGATTCCGGCCAGACAGTGAAAGGGATGAGTGAGCTTCTTGAGAGCTCCGCCTACCGGACGAAGAAAAAACCTCCTGGAGCTCAGAAATCAAACAGTAATCGATTATCACAAGTCTGGGTTGTCGGGATTGTTGCCAAGATGTCCATCGCCTGAGGAAAACCCGCAGTATAGCACCAAAAAACAGTCAAGTACGAGGGGCGCCGAAGTCACAGCGGGGCGATTGGGTTTATATAATAAAAGAATACATTCCAAGGAGTGGAAACTGCATTTATTTTTCGGCATACTCCCCTGCTACATTTATACACTTCCAGCGTGTAACTAAAGCCTGGAAAGATTTGTCGGGACGCCTGAACCCTCCTAGGACAGCCGGCTTCACTCCCTCATCATTGTGTTCACCGTTCCCACAGAAAGATTAGTCTCCTGTGTGATGTCACGATCGATGATCCAGAATCAGGCGTTCCACGCGCTGAATGTTCACAGGAATGACTGAACCACCGCGGCCGGGAGAGACAGACGGACTGACGGCCATCTTTGAAATTATTACACCATTCAAATGTCTTACTGCGGCTGAGCGTCTCATCGCCGCACGGTGCTTGACGTCTTCTGTAGACATTGGCGTCTCATCGCCGCACGGTGCTTGACGTCTTCTGTAGACATTGGCGGTTCATCGCCTTACTGCGCTGGAAGTCTTCTGTAGACATTGGCGTCTCATCGCCGTACTGCGCTGGAAGTCTTCTGTAGACATTGGCGTCTCATCGCCGTACTGCGCTGGAAGTCTTCTGTAGACATTGGCGTCTCATCGCTGTACTGCGCTGGAAGTCTTCTGTAGACATTGGCGTCTCATCGCTGTACTGCGCTGGAAGTCTTCTGTAGACATTGGCGTCTCATCGCCGTACTGCGCTGGAAGTCTTCTGTAGACATTGGCGTCTCATCGCCGTACTGCGCTGGAAGTCTTCTGTAGACATTGGCGTCTCATCGCCGTACTGCGCTGGAAGTCTTCTGTAGACATTGGCGGTTCATCGCCTTACTGCGCTGGAAGTCTTCTGTAGACATTGGCGTCTCATCGCCGTACTGCGCTGGAAGTCTTCTGTAGACATTGGCGTCTCATCGCCTTACTGCGCTGGAAGTCTTCTGTAGACATTGGCGTCTCATCGCCGTACTGCGCTGGAAGTCTTCTGTAGACATTGGCTCATCGCTGTACTGCGCTGGAAGTCTTCTGTAGACATTGGCGTCTCATCGCTGTACTGCGCTGGAAGTCTTCTGTAGACATTGGCGTCTCATCGCCGTACTGCGCTGGAAGTCTTCTGTAGACATTGGCGTCTCATCGCCGTACTGCGCTGGAAGTCTTCTGTAGACATTGGCGTCTCATCGCCGTACTGCGCTGGAAGTCTTCTGTAGACATTGGCGTCTCATCGCCTTACTGCGCTGGAAGTCTTCTGTAGACATTGGCGTCTCATCGCTGTACTGCGCTGGAAGTCTTCTGTAGACATTGGCGTCTCATCGCTGTACTGCGCTGGAAGTCTTCTGTAGACATTGGCGTCTCATCGCCGTACTGCGCTGGAAGTCTTCTGTAGACATTGGCGTCTCATCGCCGTACTGCGCTGGAAGTCTTCTGTAGACATTGGCGTCTCATCGCCGTACTGCGCTGGAAGTCTTCTGTAGACATTGGCGGTTCATCGCCGTACTGCGCTGGAAGTCTTCTGTAGACATTGGCGTCTCATCGCCTTACTGCGCTGGAAGTCTTCTGTAGACATTGGCGTCTCATCGCTGTACTGCGCTGGAAGTCTTCTGTAGACATTGGCGTCTCATCGCTGTACTGCGCTGGAAGTCTTCTGTAGACATTGGCGTCTCATCGCCGTACTGCGCTGGAAGTCTTCTGTAGACATTGGCGTCTCATCGCCGTACTGCGCTGGAAGTCTTCTGTAGACATTGGCGTCTCATCGCCGTACTGCGCTGGAAGTCTTCTGTAGACATTGGCAGTTCATCGCCGTACTGCGCTGGAAGTCTTCTGTAGACATTGGCGCCTCATTGCCTTACTGCGCTGGAAGTCTTCTGTAGACATTGGCGTCTCATCGCCTTACTGCGCTGGAAGTCTTCTGTAGACATTGGCGTCTCATCGCCGTACTGCGCTGGAAGTCTTCTGTAGACATTGGCGTCTCATCGCCGTACTGCGCTGGAAGTCTTCTGTAGACATTGGCGTCTCATCGCTGTACTGCGCTGGAAGTCTTCTGTAGACATTGGCGTCTCATCGCTGTACTGCGCTGGAAGTCTTCTGTAGACATTGGCGTCTCATCGCCGTACTGCGCTGGAAGTCTTCTGTAGACATTGGCGTCTCATCGCCGTACTGCGCTGGAAGTCTTCTGTAGACATTGGCGGTTCATCGCCGTACTGCGCTGGAAGTCTTCTGTAGACATTGGCGCCTCATTGCCGTACTGCGCTGGAAGTCTTCTGTAGACATTGGCGCCTCATTGCCGTACTGCGCTGGAAGTCTTCTGTAGACATTGGCGTCTCATCGCCGTACTGCGCTGGAAGTCTTCTGTAGATATTGGCGTCTCATCGCCGTACTGCGCTGGAAGTCTTCTGTAGAAATTGGCGTCTCATCGCCGTACTGCGCTGGAAGTCTTCTGTAGACATTGGCGTCTCATCGCCGTACTGCGCTGGAAGTCTTCTGTAGACATTGGCGTCTCATCGCCGTACTGCGCTGGAAGTCTTCTGTAGATATTGGCGTCTCATCGCCGTACTGCGCTGGAAGTCTTCTGTAGATATCGGCGATTTTTACGCCTTCGTTCACAAGAAACGTCCTCACCACACGCCGTTCCACGCACACACCAGCACTGTTGTCCGCCATCTTGATTAATGGTCTCTGGACTGGCCCGGGACATGTGCGCCCCCTATTGGTAACAGAACACACTTGCTGCTTACTACTGCGTGTCGTACCGCCACGCCGGCATCCCTGTATACCTGGAAACTGAAACGTCCCGATTCGACTCGTACAAAGGCGAAGAAAACGACCCAACTGCCATCAATCATTAACCACTTGTCTGCTGGGCACTTTCACCCCCTTCCTGCCCAGGCCAATGTTCAGCTCTCAGCGCTGTCGTATTTTGAATGATAATTGCGCGGTCATGCAACATTGTACCCATATAGCAATTGTTCTAATTTTTATTTTTCACAGAAATGGAGCTTTCTTTTGGTGGTATTTAATCACCACTGGGGGGGTCGTTTGTTTAGCAAAAAATAAAGGACTGGAAATGTTGAAGAAAAAAAGGTTTTCTTAGTTTCTATTATAAAATTTTGCAAACAAGTAATTTTTCTCCTTCACTGACGTGTGTTGATGAGGCAGCACTGATGGGCTGCACTGATGAGGTGCCACTGATGAGATGGCACTAGTGGGCACTAAATAAGTGGCACTGAAGGGCAATGATAGGCTGCACTGATGAGGCAGCACTGGTGGGCCCTGATAGGCGGCACTGAAGGGCAATGATGGGCTGCACTGATGAGGCGGCACTGGTGGGCAATAAAAGGCAGCACTGATCTCTAGCACTGAAGGGCAATGATAGGCTGCACTGATGAGGTGGCACTGGTGGGTCCTGATAGGCGGCACTGAAGGGCAATGATAGGCAGCACTGATCAGGTGGCACTGGTGAGCCCTGATAGGCACCACTGGTGGCTAGTAATTGATGGCACTGATAGGCGGCACTGAATGAAGTGGCACTGGTGGGCACTAATATGCAGCACAGAAAGGCAATGATAGGCAGCACTGATGAGGTGGCACTGGTGAGCTCTGATAGGCACCACTGGTGGCCAGTAATTGATGGCACTGATAGGCGGCACTGAATGAAGTGGCAATGGTGGGCACTAATAGGCAGCACTGATTTGCACTGACTGGTGGCACAGATTTGCAGCACTGATAACCACGGCACTGATAATCGGTGCAGATGTCTCCCCCTCACAGTTGCCGGTTATGGACAGTATTTTCCTCGCTCTGACAATGTGAGGAAAGTACCGCTGATAACCGGCAACTGTGATCATGGTGATCAGATATGACTGGACACAGCTGATCGTGTGGTAAAAGGCTGCTGTGATTGGCCCTTTACCATGTCATGTGATCAGCTGTGCCCTCAGCAATCACAGAGCGCCAGGTTCGCGCTGCTGGGGGCCGCGTTCTGGGAGGACAGCAAATGACGCGCTCCCAGAACTGCCGACCGCGCTGTAGCTGACATTCAACAATAGCGCGGTCAAGAAGTGGTCTGTTAGTAAATGTCCTTCTGTCCGCTCACAAGGAACCACAGCGCCCTCTGAATGTACACTCTGTGGGTTCACTCGGCATGTAATGATCTGCACGGCATGCAACCCATTCATCATGTATTGCAGCTTGCTTGAAGGATTCATGGCCGCTAGGGGGAGATGTGAGCACAAAGAAGGCTTCCTCATTCGGCAGAAAAACCTTCACCTTGTAAAACAACCCGTTCAGTTTAACATAGAAATGCAGGCAAAACGTTTGTGAATAGATAAAAACAAAACAGTATAAACACCTTCCTTTTTTTTATAAGTGATCACATGACTTTCAGTAGATTGGAGTCCACCTGTGGGACATTCAGTTGATTGGAGTCCACCTGTGGGACGTTCGGTTGATTGGAGCCCACCTGTGAGACGTTCAGTGGATTGGAGTCCATCTGTGGGACGTTCAGTGGATTGGGGTCCCATCTGTGTGACGTTCAGTGGATTGGAGTCCACCTGTGGGACGTTTAGTTGATTGGAGTCCACCTGTGGGACGTTCAGTGGATTGGAGTCCACCTGTGGGACTTTCAGTTGATTGGAGTCCACCTGTGGGATGTTCAGTGGATTGGAGTCTACCTGTGGGACGTTCAGTGGATTGGAGTCTATCTCTGGGACTTTCAGTTGATTGGAGTCCACCTGTGGGACGTTCAGTGGTTTGGAGTCCACCTGTAGGACGTTCAGTGGATTGGAGTCCACCTGTGGGACGTTCAGTGGATTGGAGTCCACCTGTGGGACGTTCAGTGGATTGGAGTCCACCTGTGGGACGTTCAGTGGATTGGAGTCCACCTGTGGGACTTTCAGTTGATTGGAGTCCACCTGTGGGATGTTCAGTGGTTTGGCGTCCACCTGTGGGACGTTCAGTGGTTTGGAGTCCACCTGTGGGACGTTCAGTTGATTGGACATGATTAGGAAAGGCATAAACCTGTCCATAGACGGTCCCACAGGTAACAGTCAGGGCACAAACCAAGCAATGAAGTCCAAGGAATCGTCCGTAGACCTCCGAGACAGGATTGCTGCAGCATTGAAGGTCCCAACGAGCTCAATGGCCGCCATCATCCGTAAATGGAAGAAGTTTGGACCCACAAGGAGTCTTCCCAGAGCAGACCGCCCGGCCAAGATGAGCGATGGAGGGAGAAGGGCCTTAGCCAGGGGGGTGACCAAGCACCCGATGGTCACTCTGAAAGAGCTCCAGCGTTTCTCTGTGGAGAGAGGAGAACCTTCCAGAAGAACAACCATCTCCGCAGCTCCACCAATCAGGCCTGTATGTTAGAGCGGCCAGACGGAAGCCACTCCTCAGTAAAAGGTAAATGGCAGCCCGCCTGGAGTTTGCCAAAAGGCACCTGAGGGATTCTCAGACCATGAGAAACAAAACTCTCTGGTTTGATGAAACAAAGACTGAACTCTTTGGCCTGAATGCCAAGCGTCATGTCTGGAGGAAACCGGGCACCGCTCACCACCTGGCCAATACCATCCCTAGTGTGAAGCATGGTGGTGGCAGCATCATGCTGTGGGGATGTTTTTCAGCAGCAGGAACTTGGTGATCGCCGGGTGCTGGCAGGGAATATCCAGCCAGGACCCGGTGATCAACATCTGTAGCCGCCAATGGCGGCGCGTGTCCCCTACCCGGAGATACAAAATCACGTGTATATACATGTGTGTCAGCCCTGACAACCTGTAACAGTATTTCTGCTATAGGACGGCAGGGAAGTGGATGGTTTCTGATGCCGGGAGATGAGCACAAGATGAGCGATGGAAGGAGAGGGGCCTTAGCCAGGGAGATAACCAAGCACCCGATGGGCACTCTGAAAGAGCTTGAGGTTCTGCAGCAGCTGGCGTGTGATGTAAGAAGAGGTTCTGCGGCAGCTGGCGTGTGATGTAAGAAGAAGAGGTTCTGCGGCAGCTGGCGTGTGAAATAAGAAGAGGTTCTGCGGCAGTTGGCGTGTTGTATAAGAAGAGGTTCTGCGGCAGCTGGCGTGTGATGTAAGAAGAGGTTCTGCGGCAGCTGGCGTGTGATGTAAGAAGAGGTTCTGCGGCAGCTGGCGTGTGATGTAAGAAGAGGTTCTGCGGCAGCTGGCGTGTGATGTAAGAAGAGGTTCTGCGGCAGCTGGCGTGTGATGTAAGAAGTGGTTCTGCGGCAGCTGGCGTGTGACATAAGAAGAGGTTCTGCGGCAGCTGGCGTGTGATGTGAGAAGAGGTTCTGCGGCAGCTGGCGTGTGATGTGAGAAGAGGTTCTGCGGCAGCTGGCGTGTGATGTAAGAAGAGGTTCTGCGGCAGCTGGCGTGTGATGTAAGAAGAGGTTCTGCGGCAGCTGGCGTGTGATGTAAGAAGAGGTTCTGCGGCAGCTGGCGTGTGATATAAGAAGAGGTTCTGCGGCAGCTGGCGTGTGATGTAAGAAGAGGTTCTGCGGCAGCTGGCGTGTGATATAAGAAGAGGTTCTGCGGCAGCTGGCGTGTGATGTAAGAAGAGGTTCTGCGGCAGCTGGCGTGTGATGTATAAGAAGAGGTTCTGCGGCAGCTGGCGTGTGATGTAAGAAGAGGTTCTGCGGCAGCTGGCGTGTGATGTAAGAAGAGGTTCTGCGGCAGCTGGCGTGTGATGTAAGAAGAGGTTCTGCGGCAGCTGGCGTGTGATGTAAGAAGAGGTTCTGCGGCAGCTAGGGTGTGATGTGAGAAGAGGTTCTGCGGCAGCTGGCGTGTGATATGAGAAGAGGTTCTGCGGCAGCTGGCGTGTGATGTGAGAGGTTTCTGCGGCAGCTGGTTGAAATAAGAAGAGGTTCTGCGGCAGCTGGCGTGTGATATTCTGAGCTGGCGTGTGATGTGAGAAGAGGTTCTGCGGCAGCTGGCGTGTGATATAAGAAGAGGTTCTGCGGCAGCTGGCGTGTGATATGAGAAGAGGTTCTGCGGCAGCTGGCGTGTGATATAAGAAGAGGTTCTGCGGCAGCTATATACGTGATTTTGCGCAGCTCTGCCGCCCTGTAGCAGTATTTCTGCTATAGGGCAGCAGGGCATGGATTCTGATGCCAGGAGAGCTATATGATCATGTGACCGCTGTGATTGGCTGTCACAGTGGTCACACGATCAAAAAGCTCCTGATCGCAAGTAGCAATCTGGAGCTTTCCATTAGGCACTATTAACTGTGTACATCCCGTACTCTCCGTACATCCCCAAAACCCCGTACATCCCCAATACCCCATACACTCCATACATCCCGTATACTCCGCACATCCCCTACACCCCATACATCCCCAACACCCCGTACACTCCATACATCCCGTATACCCTGCACATCCCGTACACCCCCAACACCCCGTACACTCCATACACCCCGTACACTCCGTACATCCCGTACACCCCCAACACCCCGTACATCCCCCAGCACCCCATACACTCCATACATCCCGTATACTCCGTACATCCCCTACACCCCATACACTCCGTACATCCCGTACACCCCATACATCCCCAACACCCCGTACACTCCATACATCCCGTATACCCTGCACATCCCGTACACTCCATACATCCCGTATACTCCGCACATCCTGTACACCCCCCAACACCCCGTACACTCCATACATCCCGTATACTCCGCACATCCTGTACACCCCCAACACCCCGTACACTCCATACATCCCGTATACTCCGCACATCCCGTACACCCCCAACACCCCGTACACTCCATACATCCTGTATACTCCACACATCTCGTACACTCCCAACACCCCCGTACACTCCATACGTCCCGTATACTCCGCACATCCCGTACATCCTGTACACCCCCAACACCCCGTACACTCCATACATCCCGTAGACTCCGTACACTCCATACATCCTGTATACTCCACACATCCCATACATCCCATATACTCCGCACATCCCGTACACCCCCAACACCCCGTGCACTCCATACATCCTGTATACTCTGCACATCCCGTACACCCTGTACATCCCTTACATCCGTACACCCCCAACACCCCGTACACTCCATACATCCTGTATACTCCACACATCCCATACATCCCATATACTCCGCACATCCCGTACACCCCGTGCACTCCATACATCCTGTATACTCTGCACATCCCGTACACCCTGTACATCCCTTACATCCGTACACCCCCAACACCCCGTACACTCCATACATCCTGTATACTCCGTACACCCTGTACATCCCCAACACCCCGTACATCCCGTATACTCCACAAATCCCGTACACTCCGTACACCCCGTACACTCCATACATCCCGTATACTCCGCACATCCCCTACATCCCCAACACCCCGTACACTCCATACATCCCATATACTCCGCACATCCCGTACACCCCCAACACCCCGTACAATCCATACATCCGGTATACTCCCGCACACCCCGTACATTCCATACATCTCGTATACTCCGTACATCCCCAACACTCTGTACACTCCATGCATCCTGTACACTCCGTACATCCCCAACACCCCATACATTCCATACATCTCGTATACTTCGTACACTCCGTACATCCCCAACACTCTGTACACTCCATGCATCCTGTACACTCCGTACATCCCCTACATCTGCACATTCCATACATCCCGTACACTCCGTACATCCCCTACACCCCGTACCCTCCGTACATCCCCTACATCTGCACACTCCGTACATCCCGTACACCCTGTACACTCCGTACATCCCCTACACCCCATACATCCCGTACACTCCATACATCCCCTACACCCCGTACATTCCGTACATCCCCTACACCCCATACATCCCATACACTCCATACATTCCGTACACTCCGTACATCCCCTACACCCCGTACCCTCCATACATCCCGTACACCCCGTACATCCCCTACACCCCGTACCCTCCGTACATCCCCTACATCTGCACATTCCGTACATCCCGTACACCCTGTACACTCCGTACATCCCGTACACTCCATACATCCCGTACACTCCGTACACCCCGTACATTCCGTACATCCCCTACACCCCGTACACTCCGTACATCCCTACACTTCTCGGCATCAAGGCCCACCCACCAGGAGGCTGCAGATATGCGTACTGTACGCATGAACAAGTTAACCATCGCTGACACTGGAACAAAAGAGTAGTGGGGATATGTTCCAACCAAAAGGGAATTTCCGGGGAGAGATTTCTTGTTGTGTCTCCAGGGCAGGGAGTGAAGGGAAATGTCTCCAATGGGGACACAGACAGAGAGAACCCTTTCCCAAGACACAGTCATCCATTCTGGGGTATTAGAATGCACTGTGGGCAGGGAGGGGTTTGCGTGGGCGCTTTCTTCTGGAGCTGTGCGGTGATGTCATTATACAACCGACACCTGACATGCGTCACCCCATCACAGGTTCCCGTCTTTCATGTGACACAATAATGACAGAGGGACAATCGGCAGTCAGTGTCGGCACTAACAATAGCAGGGTGTAGCACAGCGCCCGGATCACACAGAGCTGTTTATAGCAACTAGAGGATTATATAATCGCAGGGAAGTGAGATTTCCTCTACACCCTCCTGCACTGCGATCCTGCAAACAAACACTGTTCTCCGTCACTTGTACTCCTTCTTCAGCCTGCAATGGCGGCAAACACAGAACAACGGGCGACACGCCGTCAAAGCGTCATGTTTTCTTTATAGGTAGCGCTTTATATTGGATTTATGTTCATTATTAACCCCTTCCCACCCAGCCCCCAGCATCCCTTTAATAGGGTCTGTACACCCAGGGGCGGGAAGAATCGATGGTCATGTATCTAGGGTGAACTGTAGATACACGAATTCCCACGGCCTCCACTCTGTCAGAATAACAGAAATGCGCACTCACGGAAACGCATGGGTTATGCGCATGTGTGATCATGCATCACAAGCAATAGGTACATCAGAAGCCAGGCATCTCCCTCACGGT